CTGGGCAACAAAACCTGGAGAATCCACCCACTGACACATTCCCCGTAAGGCCCAGGAGACACCCCTTTGTGAAAGCATTAGGGGAATGCGCCTTGGGAAGAGCCGGGCCTGAAAGTGTGACAATGTCCCCAGGCTTTGTGGCACAGCGTCTTACCTTGGGGGGGCTTCAGACCTCCGGACTCGACTGGAACAGGGTGTGGCTCAGGCATTGAGGGTTTTACAAGCCCCCCCAGGTGATTCTAATCTGGGGGAAAGTTCGGGAATACTGAAGTGGGCTCTGTCCTTACCGCAGCTGGTAATCATTCTGCAGTAATCACCCTATCGGATCAACACCTCACAAAGCTCCAACTTAAACAGTGTTGTCAATTATATCTCAATAAAGCTGCGATGGCGAGGACAGGAAAACTCTGGGGGGCCACCATCCACGTAGAGACTCACGGCACAAAGGGGCTGGTGTTTCCATTATCCAGGATGGACACTGTAGAAGGGGAGAATTCTGGAGAACGTTCTTCTCGCCACTAACAGGACGGCTTACTGTGAGCTCACAGGGAATCCAAGTAAGAGTTTCACGGAGAGAGTAGATTGAACCGACATCAGCAACGGCATCAGACAGTGGTCAGTAAATACGGGCCGTGTAAGTAAGGACACACGCGCGATTATTGCTATGGGACAGCCCAGCGAAGGCTGGGGATGGCGGGCAGCGTCCTCACCAGTAGCGTGGGGACAGGTGGGAGGGCAGTTCACACAGGTGCCGAAGCAGCTGCTCCGCGTCTGTCCTGGGTCTGGCCATTCCGAGGCCAGGGCAGCCAATGGGAAGCTACAACGTCACCGGCCCAGGATTCCCCAAAGACCCTCACTGTGCGGCTGCCCGTGGGCTGGGGAGCAGGTTCTGGTTTGGTAGGTGAGGAGGCGAGGAGGTGAGTCGGTATTTCATCCCGTCCGGTTCCTAGTGCCTTCCCCTCTCCTTTCTTTCTCTGTTACTGATTCGGATCTATTCTTTGAGCTCCGCTCTGTGCCCCCAGGCTCTCCGTGTCCACTAGCCAGAGCCCAAGGACCAAAGACACCCTCTGAAAGAATGAAGTGCCCCATTTCCCCCATTTTAATAAAAGAGCGTTTTCCACATTCACTTGGGGTATGTTCCTCAATCCTTCCCAGCCTCTAGGTCTAAAATAAAGATCTTGACTCCGGGGAACAAACTGAGGGTTGCAGAAAGGGAGGTGCATGGGGTCACTGGGGGGTGGGCATGGAGGAGGGCACGTGCTGAGATGAGCACTGGGCATTATATGCAACTGATGAATCACTGAGAACTACGTAAAAAAGGAAAACAAAAAGAAAAATAAAGGACAGAGTCGGGGAGGCCGTGGCTCCAGGTTCAAGATGAGCTGACGTCTGGACTTGTGGGAGTCTGGGGGTGTCGCTGAGTTAATTATGCTAATTGCATGTTAATTACGGCTTATGATTCTCCTGAGGCTGTTCTTTGTTAGTGAGGAAACTGAGTCACAGATGAGTCGAATGGCTTTGCCCGGGGTAGCAAGGGGTGAATCCATGCTCAGAACGGCGTGTGACTGATTTCCCGCTCTGCGATCATGACTGCTTCTATGGGATCATTCAAGGCCCCCAGGCAGAGAGCTGTTGCTGGTAGAGGCTACAGAGGATAGAGACCAAGGGAGAGCTTTGGTGTCCATGGTCTTTCATGTCCAGGAAATAACTTTAACCACCACTCTTGGTTTACATTCTTCCAACCTACAGTCCTGCATCTACGGGAGTAACGTAACCTTCTTCCCAGTCCCGTTGTGGTTTTACAGGGGATGGCGTCCCTCTGCCTCTCCCAGGCTAGTCCTCCCACCTGGGCTCTCCTCCTCTCTACTCCATTGGGTTTGGTTGTCAGCTCCCTTGCTGGGATGTATTGGAAGACGGGGAGCACTTATAATCAGGTGTGTGTTAAAATGCTTTTGCCTAAAGCACTTCATGGAGGTAACCATCTAGCTGAGATGTCAACGAAGTCCTTCCCCCCTCCCAAAAGAAGCTTTTGGCTTCTTTTTTTTCTTTCTTTGGTTTTTCTGTGTTCTCTCTTTTTTTTATATTTATTTAGCTATTTATTTTTTAAAGATTTTATTTATTTATTTGACAGAGATCACAAACAGGCAGAGAGGCAGGCAGAGAGAAGGGGAAGGAGGCTCCATGCTGAGCAGAGAGCCCAATGCGGGGTCAATCCCAGGACCCTGAGATCATGACCTGAGCCGAAGGCAGAGGCTTAACCAACTGAGCCACACAGGTGCCCCATACTTCTCATTTCTTTATCCGATTGCTTTGCTGCAGAATATATCAAACAGTAGTGGAGAGAGCAGGGAACGAGAAGAAATGCTCCATTTCCCTCCCTGGGCTCAGCAAACTGCCATCAAATGCAGCCCATCCCCTGTTTCACCGGAAACCGCTTTCCTGAGTCTCTGTTGTCAAGGGCCGCTGGCCGCCGAGCTGAGCAGTTGGGACAGAGCGCTAGCGGCCCACAGAGCCAAAGGGAGCCAGCCCTTGGCAGAAAGTCTGACTTCTGCTGCGACTTTTCTTTTTATTTTTTTTTTTAAGATTTTATTTATTTATTTAAGAGAGAATGAGTGAGAGAGAGCATGAGAGAGGAGAAGGTCAGAGGGAGAAGCAGACTCCCCAAGGAGCTGGGAGCCCAATGAGAGACTCAATCCTGGAAGTCCAGGATCATGACCTGAGCCGAAGGCAGTTGCCCAACCAACTGAGCCACCCAGGCGCCCTGACTTTTCTTTTTAAAACAAAGTTTGACCATTAAGTATATTTGCTGGAGTTTTTTTTTTTTTTTTTCTGGAGTTTTTACCAGCAGAAAATTCCTTTGGCTGCAGGATGCCTAGTTCCAGTTGCAACCCTTGTCTCCATACCCTGTAGGCATTCACCGAGACCATGGATCTTGCTGCTTTGCTTTCCTGGAAATGTGGGGCTCGGGCTTTGTTGTGACGCCAGCGTCCCTCAGTTTCGTCAGGACTGTGCTCTGTTTCTCTGACTGCGTGGCTCTTTGGCTCTACTCTGCCTTAAATAGAATCCGTCTTCCGGTGTGTGTGTGTGCCCGTGTGTATTGTTTTTTAAGCCTTTTTCCAAATGTCATTCTCACCGCTCACACCCCCCTGTTTGCAGAATACCGCCTTTCTACTAGAGAATGAGAGTCTGTTTCCCGAAACAAAAGAGCACTTTTCTCATGCCGCAAAATATTGGTAAGAATTGATTACAGTGCAAAGAGAGGCTGCAAATAGTTCAAACCTGAGGCCGTTTGTGTCTGTGAGGAGCCGCAGAAACACAAATGAGACCAACTTCCATAAAAATTGTAGGATGTGGAGCATCTTTTATGGGTCTGTTGGCCATCCGTGTGTCTTCTTTGGAGAACTGTCTGTTCACATCCTCTGCCCATGTTTAATTGGATTAGTCGGGATTTTTCTGTGTTGAGTTGTATCGGTTCTTTGTAGATTTGGGATACTAACCCTTTATCTGATGTGTCGTTTGGAGTATCTCCTCCCATTCCATAGGTTGTCTTTTGTTTTGCTGAGTGTTTCCTTTGCTGGGCGGAAGTCTTTTTGTTTTTAGCCATACTGAAATTAAAATTTAAAAAACCAGAAAAACAAAACTCTAGGGGCTGCTTCTCGGTTTGTAGAACAACTGAGGTTTCTATTCCAGACTGGAGAGGGAGCGATTATTAGCCACTCTTGCAAGTAGCCCCTCTCAGAGGCTGTTACTTTCCAGGGGACATTCTTGATTGTCATGGAAGCAGAAATCGGAGCTGGGCTGTCCCTCCATCTGGGAGCCTGTGTTGCTAATCACAGAAGCATACCCCCTCTCAACATGCAATTACCAAAGTGGGCTCTTTTTATTTCCCATCCTTATTGAGGTATGATGTACCAATAAAAATTAGATATATTTAAGGTGTTCAATGTAATGTTTTGATACGGTGTACATTACATAGTAATTACTGCCATCAAGCTAGTTAACCTACCCATTACCTGTATGTGGTGAGAGCCGACTTTAAATAGAGTGACTAATTTTCCATAAATGGTGGTAGCTTACTTGCCAGTTTCCATGAGTAGGACATATCAGCCAAGAGCATCACTGAAAGGTGGTTGAGCGGTTTTTGATTTTCTATTTTAATTCCAGTATAGTTAAAATATGGTGTTACATTGGTTTCGGGTGTGCAGCATAGTGGTTCAACGCTTCCGTACACCGCCCCGTGCTCATCAGCACAAACGCACTCCTTCATCCCCATCACTTGTCTCCCCCCGACCCGTCCCCACTCACCTCCCCTCTACTGACCATCAGTTTTCTACAGTGAAGAGTCCATTGCATGGTTTGTCTTTCTCTCTCTTTTCATTTTCTCATTTGTTTTATTTCTTAAATTCCATGTATAACTGAAATCATGTGGTATTTTTCTCAGTCTGACTTCTTTCACTTTGCATAAATCCCTATAGGCCTATCCATGTTATTGTGAATTGCAAGATTTCACTCTTTTGACTCCGTGATTCTCCATTGTGCATATACCGCGTCTTTTTTAGCCTTTCTCTATCGATGGACAGTTGGGTTCTCTTCCATAATTTAGCTATTATAAATAGGGTTACAATAAATGTGGCAGAGCACACATGCTTTCAAGTTAATGTTTTCGTATTCTTTAAGTGTTTTTAATCTGACTCTATGCTAGGTGCTGTTTTGGGAATGAGGGATAAAGGCAGCAAAACATCCCGGAATTTATATTCTTATAACAAGATAAATAGATATAATGTCAAGTAATTTAAAGTCTATGAAGAATTGTTACCCATGAATTGGGCTTCTCTGTGTGTGTCACAAAACAAACAGAAAATGTTGTTTCTAGTGACTTGATGAGGTTGGTTGTATGAACCCGAGGATCCAAGAGTCTCTTTTGAATCTTGTTAATCTTCCACAGGTACCATTTCTCCATATTATTAAGGAATCCACTTTTCCATCAAAATCTGAGCTCTCAGCCTTGCACGAAGATGAGAGAAGCCAAATTACCCTCCTTTTCCAACTATGCCCTGCAATGGTGTCTCATGCAGCTGAGCAAGAAGGAGTTTCAGACGTTTAAGGCACTGCTCATGGAAAAAGCTTCCGAAGTGGCAGTGTGCTCCTTTCCATGGGTTGAGGTGGACAACGCCGACGTGGAACATCTAGCCTCCCTCTTGCATGAGCTTTATGAAGAATCTCTGGTCTGGAAAATATCCAATCACATCTTTGAAACGATGGGCCTGTCCACATTCTCTGAGAAGGCAAGGCAAGAGATGAAAAGTGAGTATGCCTTGGGGGAAATCTGCAGGTGGGAGAGAAAGGAGGTTACCTCGAGCTCCCATGGGAATGAAGAGGGCATCCTTGGTCACTAATTGGGTCCATCTCCACAGTGTGGGTCTGAACTGTAAGAAGTCCCTCATTAGTCATCCTGCCTGGCTGGAAATTAGAGGAGTCCCCACCCTGTGGAAAAACGAAGAAACGAGTAGACAGACCCTCTACCCAGACAGAATTTGGTTGAAGTTCATAGACAGGACTTGGAGTCCTAAGTTCTGAGCTTGAGCTCTGGACCTTCTACGTGTTCTATGTGTGACTTTGGGCAAATTTCCTTTTACTCTGACCCTTGGACTCCACATCTTGGAACAGTAACTTGGATGCTTACCTGTGCTCTTGCAAAGACTCAATAACGTAATGTATGCAAAGTGGTTAACAAAGCTTCATTCACTTATTGAGAACACTGTGGTGGTTGTTCAGTGGGTGTCTCCCATATTTCCTGCCTGAGACTAAAGCCACGGAACTCGTCTAAGGACTGATCTTGTCAGACCGTTGGTGTCGATATCATAGCAACATGCTCTGATCAAATTGTGTGATTGGCTCAGGGTATTTAGGAGAAAGGTAGTGGAAGAAAATAGTCCTCCTTTATCGGGAAGAATTCTTTTCTTCAACCATGGACAGAAAACTTCGAGTCCTGAGGGTGAACAGTCAGATTGACCCTAAAGACTACAGGTATGGCCGTCCCTAGATGTAACTCAGCATCTATAGCTACAAAGGACTTTAAGAGAAGCTATCCCTCCCGAGCTTCCAAAAAGCCCCATGTGGAAAACATGTCGATATTATTCACAGGAAATGGAGGTTATAAAATTAAAATGATGACTGATATTTACTGAGTCAGTGCTCTAGGTGAGGCACTATGTTGAAACCGCCCTGCCATCGAGTCAAACCCACCTGATGAAATGGGTTCCCCATGGCAGAAGCTAAAAACACGGGTTCTACCAAGTTCTACATGAGCTCATAGGTGACAAAGATGAGACTCATTATCTAACATGTCTTTAAATCTTCATGGGTTATATGCCAGAGATTTATAGCTTCCAGGGCTGCAAACAAGAGGGAAAGATGGGTGACCTTTTTTTAAATGGTGTAGAAAAAGGAGAGGATCCTATTCTAGACCAGAGAGAAATGAAGACTAGAATAACTTTCCAAAAGAAGTGAAGTTAAAGCTGAAACACATATGAAGAAGAGGGAATAGCCAAGCTAATTGGGGATGGTAGAGAAAACATGATGAGCAACAGAGATTGCATTATGAAGCCTTTAACAGGGAGCTTGGCTAGACTATGGAGAACAGGAGGGAGCAAGGCAAGAGATTAATATGGGGAGGTAGACCACAAGTCCAACAACACAGCATCTTGAGGATAATTTTAACAGCAAATCATAAGCAATTCATTTTGAAGGGGACAGGGATAAAAAAATAATCCCATTGGCATTTCAGCATTGTTGCTGAAGTGTTGTGTGGTCCAGAAAGAGTCATGACTAGATGTGGGGAAACCAGGAGGAGGCCATTCTGGTACCCCATGGGAGAAATAGTGGTGTCTTGGGCCAGAGTGGCAGTGGTTGTTAAAGAAAGTAGAAATGCAATTGGAAGATGTTTCAAAAGCAGACACACTGGTTTTGTAGGACTTAATGCAGACAGAGGGTATGCCTTAAGGATGACGCCCTGTTTCTGGCATGAGAAAGTGGGTGGGTGAGGTTCTTTTAAGATTTTTTAAAAATTCCTTTTGAGAAAGAGATAGCACAAGCAGGGGTAAGGGGCAGAGGGAGAGGAAGAAGCAGACTCACTGCTGATCAGGGAGCCTGACGGGGGGCCCAATCCCAGGACCCCGGAATCATGACCTGAGCCAAAGGCAGATGCTTAACCAACTGAGCCACCCAGGTGTCCTAGTGGATGGGCTATTAGCTCATCCCAAGAAACACTGGAACAGATGTTTTAGAGCAAGTAGACTGGAGAAAGAGTGGCCAGTGTTAGCACTCATAAGTTGGACACCTCTGTTTGGATAATTCACTACTCTAGTGAGTCGTCCACTAACTAGCTAAAGTTCAAGAGAGGGGCTGAGGTAGACTCTTGAAGATAAACTCTTGAGAACCGTAACACTCTGCCTCATCATGTGCATTACCCAAGGCCAGACAGCAAAAGTGGAACTGGAGTTCACAAGTTCAAACTCTGAGCACTCTTCATGACCGGTCTCTGCTATGTCATTGGGCTGGTGTCACTGGAGGATCTGACTCCATTGTCTCCACTACTGGACAGTCCTGGGACAAACTGAGATCCGGAGGCTTTCTTGGTTCCCCTCAGTAATTTGGGCAGAGGACGCTCTCATCCCCAGTCTGGGTAATTGCTATGACTTTACTGAGACAGTCGTGTCATCTCCTCTCTGTTGCAGAATATTCTCTGGCTGAAATTCCAGGAAATTCTACACAAATGAAGAAAGACCAGGAACCAAGCATGAAAGAAGTGCCAGGTCAGTGTGGACGTGCTGGGACAATGGTACGTCTACAGCCACATGACAGTTAGTTACTGGTATGCCCGGGACTCGAACCATGACTTCTGATGGTCCAGTGTTCTTTCTAGCCCGGCCCTGGGCCCTGAGGATCTAGTAATCATGGTCTGTCTTATTCAAAGTCCAAGAGAACTCTGTGATCTTAAAGCTTTCTTATGACTCTCTGGGTTCCCATCTTCAGTTTGGGCAACTTCATGACCTTGCCAGGACAACATCCACCTGAGGGTCTGTTTTGGATGCTTTGGTGGAGAGCTCCAGATAGCGTGAAATCAGACTCAATACAGTTCCTGAAATATCTGTGTACTGGTGCCTGCCGGGCACTGCTCTGTGGACTTTGGTTACATCCATGGACAAAGTACGTGCAAATCTCCGGCATTCAGGAAGCCCATACTTCAGTGGAGGAAAGGGAGACCAGCAAAAGGGACCAAAGCAGTGAAGCCACAACATAGAGGGAAAGATGTAGGCTTTCATAGACGGCAAGCATTCCCCAATATTAACCACACTACCACTGGCACATCGCCAGCCTTCCAGCAGTCAGCACTGACCGCAAAGTCTAACACTTTGGAAGACTCAGGACCAACTTCCTGTTGATGTAGCTTTGTCCAGGCTGCGGCTAGGAAAACCCCCTTCAAAACCAAAGTCTGAGTGGTTGGTGAGTCAGAGTCTCAGAATCCTGGAGGTTATCAATTGTTCCAACTTTTTTTTTTTTTAAGATTTTTATTATTTATTCAACAGAGAGATAGAGATTACAAGTAGGCAGAGAGGCAGGCAGAGGGAGAGGGAGAAGCAGGCTCCCTGCTCATCAGAGAGCCTGATGCGGGGCTCGATCCCAGGACCCTGGGATCATGACCTGAGCCGAAGGCAGAGGCTTAACCAACTGAGCCACCCAGGTGCCCCTCAATTGTTCCAATTTTAATGTAAATGTCACCTTAACCGGGTGAGTCCTATATATTATCTTCCCATGGATAAAATTGTATTACGCATTTATGGATTACTTAGGGATTTAGCGATGATGTGGAATGAAGACACAGCCTGACTAATCTTGGCAGTAGGAACAAAATCGATGAAGGCTGCGGTCTTACCAGCCACATTGGGAAGCCCCTCTAAATTACTGTTGTCGGTCAGAACTACCACCTATTGAGACCCTGTGAGTCAAGCATGGCGTCACAGGCTTTAATCTCACAAATCTCAACGGGATCCTGTGTGGTATTCACTGTAATTCCAACTGTCCAGCAACAAAACAGATTCAGAGGCCAGATGGCTTGCCCAAACTCTACATGTATAGACAGGCAACTCCACAACAGAGGAACGGTTCTCCTCGCTTTACAGATGAACATACAGGAGCCTGTAAGCCCAGCGAGCTGACAAAGACCTCAGAAGTAGGAAGTGACAGAATTCCCATTTATATCCTATGTCCGAGTAGAGACCCCCTCAGTTCCAATCCACCAGGTTTTATCCCTCATGTTAATGATTTGCTTAGAGGTCTCCAACGAGTTGAAAGCAGAAATGAAACCAGAACTTCCTAGCTTCGGATTTTGAATCAAGTGCTCCTTTTACGTTCAGTTAGTCTGTCTCGCTGAGCCAGCGGCTGCCATTTTCAAACCAGTCCTGAGACGTAGGTCTGTGCCCTCTCTGATTCGGATATTTACATAAGGGGGGGGAAATTCATCCTTCCTCTCTTTTTTGCAGAAATTTCACAAGCTATAGAACAAGGTGGTGCCATATCAGCTGAGATCAAAGAACAAGGTAAAGAAAACTGACTTTTTTCTTCCATCCTGGAATGGAGTTTGGGTGGGACAGGAGTCCACTGTCCCTTCATTCAGCCGCACTCGTCCCTGTACACTAGTCTCTTCCCCAAGAGCTCCTAGAATCCTCACCAAGGACAGAGTCCTCTGTGTTCACTGTGATCATCTACAGTCACTGGGTACAAAGAGAGATCCCAAAAACCTGTGATTCTGGTGAACTTGGGCGTCAAGCCCAAGTTCGGTTGACAGGAGCTAAATATAGAGACAAGAGTAGGCAAGTTCTTTGTTCAAAATTACTTGGCTAGTGGTAATCCTTTTTTCCCCCTCAATTCCTTCTGCCAAACTTGATTTTGGGAATACCTACCATTTGAAGAGCTGTGACAGGAACATAGCAGTAAAACATCTACACATGGCCATGTACAGTTATATGTCAACCAAACCAAACACGAAATGAAGACGAGATCCCAGGTGCCATGATTCTATGAAGTCGCAGCTGACCCGTCAAGGAGGTGACAGCAGGCTCTCCTAAGGAATGTTACTCGATTCTTTTTTTTTTTTTTTAAATTGATGTACCAAAAAGCTCAGCCTTTTAAAAAAATTTTTTTAAAGATTTTATTTATTTATTTAACAGAGAGAGAGAGAGATCACAAGTAGGCAGAGAGGCAGGCAGAGAGAGAGGGAAGCAGGCTCCCCACTGAGCAGAGAGCTCGATGCGGGGCTCGATCCCAGGACCCCGGGATTATGACCTGAGCTGAAGGCAGAGGCTTAACCCACTGAGCCACCCAGGCGCCCTGCTTCCTGTAGTTTTAATACAGTCCCTGAATACCTGTCCCTGATACGGAATAATGAAGTTTAAGATGTAGAACTTCTCTGTAAAGACTTTATGTAGAGATAGTCATTGCCTTATACACTCGTACAGAGAGAGTCGTGCTGCCTTTTTTTTTAGAAGATAATAGTGTTACTGGCAAATGTAAAGACCCAGGATTGGAGGGATTTCCCTCATGTTACTGAGTACCTAGCAGATGGCAGAGACCGTTGAAGAGGCTGGAAGTATGGAGGTAAAGTTCTTTCACAGTCTAGGTGCTAGACAACAAGATGCATCAGAGTGGCCGATTAGGGCAAGTGCTGGGATAAAAATAAAACCAGATAACGTGAAGGAATTATGGTTTGTAATGACAGTAGTGGCCACTGGTCATTTTTGCCAAGCCCTGGACTAATAAATTTTGAAGGCACATTCTCTCTTAAATATTCACTGCAACACTTTAAGAGGATGTTAATCTCCTTTCGGGGCGGGGGGGAACTGAGGCTCAGAAACTGACCGCATACAGCAGAATATAGAATTTCAAACAGGATCTGTCTCACTTCAAGGGCCATGATTGACCTTTTGTGCAGAGCCGGACCCCCTGCGTGGAGGGGTTTCTCCACGGGAGCCCAGAGCTGCTGGAGATGCACGCCTGGAACTCAGGCCACGGCGCACACATCCTCCGCTCCCCCAAGCCTCTCTGTCCTTCAGAGACCACGTAGGACTGTTGGGCAAAGCTCATTCCGTTAACAAATACTTAGTGTCCACAGGGTGCCAGGCATCCTCATGAATAATGAAGACGCAACAGTAAATAATTAAGTCCCTGCACGGGGTCTACTGAGGGGACAAGGACAGGAAGCCAACAAAGACGTGATGTATCAGGTATTAAGTGCTGAAAAGAACGATCAAAGGGGACAGATAGAGCGAGGTTGTAGGATGTTCCTAAGCTTGGCAGAAGTGGTCTTTGAGGGACGGAGCTCGTCATCAGTAGGAAGGAACACAAGAACCATGTCTGACTTAGGGCCACTGATTCTAGGTCCGGGGCTTGGGGGTTTGTTTTGGTTTTTCTTTTTCCCTAAATTCCAGACTTCAAATGTTGTTTCCTGTTTTTGTTCTCCCTTCCCCTGTCCAACTTGGGCCGTGGAGATAAGACAAGGGACTACAAGGGCTACGTGATGACAAAATTTGCTGCAAAGTCGGATGAGTTCCATGGTTTCGAACACCTTGCCTCTGACTGTCCACAAATGCAGATGTTGCTGGGAGCTTTCAATCCAGACCAGACGGGCTTCCAGCCCCGCACTGTGGTTTTGCACGGAAAATCAGGAATCGGGAAATCCGCTTTGGCCCGAAGGGTCCTGCAGTGCTGGGCGCAGGGTGAACTCTACCAGGCCAGGTTCTCCTACGTCTTCTTCCTCTGTGTCAGAGACATGCAGTGCATGAGGGAGGGCAGCTTCGCAGAGTTAATTTCCAGAGAGTGGCCAGACTCCCCAGTTCCAATGATGGAGATCATGTCCCAACCAGAAAGGCTCTTGTTTATCGTTGACGGTTTTGATGACCTGGACTTCGCCTTCCAAGATGACGACACGAGTCTCTGTGAAGACTGGGCAGACAAGCGACCCCCGTCTGTTCTGATGCGTAGTCTGCTGAAGAAGGCGCTGCTCCCAGAGTCCTCACTGATGATCACCGTCAGAGACACGGGCATAGAGAAGCTCAAATCCATGCTCACGTCGCCCCGTTACCTGCTCGTGGGGGGCATCTCCGTGGAGAAGAGGGTCCAGCTGCTCCTTCGGCACACGAAGAACGAGCATCAGAAGACGCAAGTCTTGCGAGCCGTGGCCGACAGCCGCTCGCTGCTGGACGCGTGCCAAGTCCCCGTCTTGGGGTCGCTCATCTGTGAGGCTTTGAACCTGCAGGAGGTGTGGGGAGAACGCCTTCCCCCTCCCTGCCACACTCTCACAAGCTTGTACGCCACGTTTGTGTTCCGCCAGCTCGGCCCGCGAGACGCCTCCCGGCGCCGTCTCAGCCAGGACGAGACCGCCGTCTTGAGGAGCCTGTGCCTCCTGGCTGTGCAGGGCGTGTGGCGCGGGAAGTTCGTGTTCTACGCAGATGACCTCTACGCCCACGGACTGCGGGAGTCTGAGCTCTCTGCTCTGCTTCACACAGACCTCCTCCTCCAGGACGGCCGCCGGGAGAGGTGCTGCTACTCCTTCCTGCACGTCAGCCTGCAGGAGTTCTGTGCTGCCCTGCACTACGTTCTAGAAGGACTGGAGACAGGGGATCGTCCCTGCCCTGTGCTCATGCAGGGGTTGGCGGCGCTCGGACCGGCCGGCTCCGGTGCCCACCTGCACCAGATGAAGTGGTTCTTGTTTGGCCTCATGAGCAAAGAGGTGACAGGGGCTCTGGAGGTCCTGCTTGGGTGCCGTGTCCCCCGGGCGCTGAAGCGGGGGCTTCTGAGCTGGATCTCTCTGCTGGGGCGACAGCCGGGCACCTGCACCCCGCCGGACTTGCGGGATGCCTTCCGCTGCCTTTTCGAGACTCAGGATGAGGAGTTTGTCCGCTTGGCATTGGACAGCTTCCAGGAAGTTTGGCTTCCGATAGAGCACCGGACGGACGTGCTGGTGTCCGCCTTCTGTCTGCAGCGGTGCCAGTATTTGCAGAGAATCCGCATCGAAGTCCCGCAGAGCCTCTCGAAGGACGAGTTCTCCGACGCGCAGCCCCTCATTCCCCAAGGGTGAGTCCTTCATTTTATTCTTTTTTTTTTTTTTTACCATTTAGTCTTTTTTTCTTCCTATCTTCATTGTTTTATTATGCTCAATCAGCTAAGGTGTAATACACCCTTCATGTTTGATGTCGTGTTCAACAACTCGTTAGTTGAGTAGAATACCCAGTGCCCACCACCACACATGCCCTCTTTTTTTTTTTTAAGATTTTATTTATTAGGGAGGGCAATAAGTTAGGGAAGGGGCAAAGGGAGAGGGAGAAGGAGACTCCCCACAGAGCAGGCTCAGTCCCAGGACCTCAGGATCATGACCTCAGCTGAAGGCAGATGCTTAACCGACTGAGCCTCCCAGGCACAGCCCTTCCTTCCCGTCTTCATGGAGGTATAATTGACAAATGAAAATCGTACTTATCTAAGATGTACAATTTGGTAAAATCATCAGCATGATTAAGCTAATTACCATACCCACCACCTCAGATAGTTACCACTCGTAGACATCCATCTCGTGTAACCGAAACTCCATAGTCTTCCACCAGCACCGCCCCCACCCCAGCCACAGGCCACCACCATCCTCTCTCTGCTTAGGCGAATTTGGCTATTTTAAATGTTACATGTGAGACCGGACGCGTCTGCCTGTTACTGGCTTATTTCACTTACCATAACGTACTCTAGGTTCATTCCTACTCCTACAAATGGCAGGATTTCCTTCTTTTTAAAAGCTGAGTACCATTCCCGTGTGTGTGTGTGTGTGTGTGTGTGTGTGTGTGTGTGTGTGTGTGACATTTTCTTCACTCACCTGTCAGTGGACATTTACGTCCTTTCCGAATCTTGGCTGTCGGGGTCGATATAGTGCACAGATCCTGATTTCAGTTCTTTCCTACAGATATGATTCCTAGATCATAGGGTCGCTTTATTTTTGCTTTTTTGAGGAACTTCCATACTGATTTCCACAGTGGCTGTGCCCTTTTCCATTCAAGGGGGAGCCAGAATCTAAGGGTAAACCCAGTTCAGGGGCTGGCGACTCCGCGTTGTCTTTGTGTGTTCCCCCCGGGGTATTAAAATGTTCAGGGGTGGGGTGGGTGTGAGAGCAGGCAATGAAAGCACAAGGCAGCGTCACTAAGTGACCTGAGCGCCTCTGAAGCCATGCCCGTCCTGCCGTCGTACACTGGTTCCTCTCCTCTGACACCGCTGGGGCGGTTGCTCGTGTTAAATCCCATCCTGTGGAAGCCAGTGGCGATTTCTTTCTCTGTTGTAGGATGCCAGCCAAGACCCTCACTGCTGAGTGCTGGGAAAGTCTCTGCGTCGTGCTCAGCACCCACCCAAGCCTGCGGGAGCTCGACCTGAGCGGCAGCGTCCTGAGTGAGCGGGCCATGAAGACCCTGTGCGTGAAGCTGAGGCAGCCAACATGTAAAATACAGAATCTGATGTAAGGCTGCCCGGCACCCCCCACATGTCCCTTGGTGTGGCTATGTCGCTGCTCTCTTCTCCCACCTACCAGAAAAGATCCATCTAAGAATGTAATCAGAGGGGATAGCTGTTGTGGAAGATACAGGAGCCAAGTTCCCAGAAGCACACAATGGGGAGAAACTAAAGACCCCGTGAAGGGATTACGGAGGCAGGCTCATTCACTCTGGGTATTGAAGGATGAATAGGAGTTTGTTAGTAGGGACAAAGCTATGGGGAGCTCCTTGTAGGCAAATGGCTGGAGCATGAGGCCACTGCAAGACCTAAGTACTTGACTTGAGGGAGGCTTTAAATCAGTTCTTAATGCTTTTACGTTCATTAATAAGGTAACAAATATTTGAACACCTGGTAAGGTTCTGGGTCTGTGGTAGACCTCAGGGTACTCCCCAGGTTCCTGGAGTAGGAGATGAAGTGCTAGTTCTGCTGCAGACAAAGGTTCTGCAGCGTTGCCCCTGGGAACCCCTGCTCTTAGCTCTTGCCAGGCAGTGATGAGCCCAAGTCTGTGTCATCGCTGTATCTGTAACACAGTAACCCATCATGTGTGTATTTGTAACTCAGCAGTAACCCATCACGTGTGGTAACGAGATTCGGGTGTTACGAGGGTTTCCAGAAGAAGTCCTCTTCAACTTCCTACCTCCCTTATTAACAACTCCTGAGCTTCCCATGCAACTATATGTATATATTGGCAAATGACTTTTTTAAATCCAAATGGTGTTACGATATACACGTTCGTCTGATGTTTGACCTTTCTCTTCAGCCTGAACTTGACCATATCTGTTTATAGTTCTACTAGTCTCTCTTCTTTCTTTAAGATTTTATTTTTAGGGGCGCCTGGGTGGCTCAGTGGGTTAAAGCCTCTGCCTTCGGCTCAGGTCATGATCGCAGAGTCCTGGGATCGAGCTCCGCATCAGGCTCTCTGCTCTGCAGGGAGCCTGCTTCCTCCTCTCTCTCTGCCTGCCTCTGCCTACTTGTGATCTCTCTCTCTGTCAAATAAAAAAATAAAAAAAAAAATTTTATTTTTAAACAATCTCTACACCCAGCACGGGGCTTGAACCCACAACCTCAAGATCAAGAGTCGTCTGCTCTTCCGACTGAGCCAGCCAGACGCCCTTGACACTGTTTCCAGTACCTGACACCTCGTACATGCTCATGAATTTGTTGCTTTAAATTAAGTAGGCGTGGGTCACCTGGCTGGCTCAGTGGGTAGAGCATGCAGCCCTTGATCTGGGGATTGTGGGCTTGAGCCTTGCACTGGGTATAGAGATCACTTACACAATTTTTTAAATCTTTAAGAATACATAAATGCAAATGGTGAGAGGAAAACTGGGACACGGCTGTCCCCCGGGTCTCATGCGTATTTTCCGCTTTCTCTTGAGTAGATTTAAAGATGCGCAGGTTCCCCTGGGCCTTCGTCATCTCTGGACGGTTCTCATTACCAACCGTAACATGAAATACCTGAACTTGGAGAGCACTTGCCTGAAGGAGGCCGACCTGACGATGGCTTGCCAAGCGCTGAGACACCCGAGCTGCTTGCTGGAGTCGCTGAGGTACGCTCTGGGTGGTGCATGTGGCTGCTGCATTTTCGGTTTTGCCCTTGTGGAGCAAGCTGCAAACCCGTAAGAGAGGAAGAGGGCGTCCGGAGGTGGTGGTGGTGGATGGGCAGCAGCGTCCATGGGCGGACCTCACGTGCCCCTCCGTGCACCTGGGCAAGGTGGTAAACTTCATTATGCATATTTCACTCTGATGAAAAGGTAACTTTCAGCTACCTTTTAAGATTTTATTTATTTATTCATAAGAAAGAGAGAGAGAAGCAGAGGCAGAGGGAGAAGCAAGGTCCCTGCTGATCAAGGAGCCAGATACGGGACTTGATGCCAGGACCCCAGGATCATGACCTGAGCAGAAGGCAGATGCTTAACCATCTGAGCCACCCAGGAGCCCTCAGTTACCTTTTAAAACAGATTAAAACTCTTCAGAGTACAGGGATAGAGGGAACATTCATCAACTTCGTAAAATCCATCTATGAAAGACCCACAGCGAATATCTTCCTCAGTGGAAAAAAAGCTCGCAGCCTTCCCGCTGAGATCAGGAACACAAGGATGCCCACTCTCACCACTCTTGTTCAATATAGTATTAGAAGTCCTAGCAACAGCAATCAGGCAACAAAGAGAAAGAAAAGGTATCCAAATTGGCAATGAAGAAGTCAAACTCCTTCTTCGCAGATGACATGATACTTTATATGGAAAACCCAAAAGACTCCACCCCCAAACTACTAGAACTCATACAGCAATTCAGTAATGTGGCAGGATACAAAGTCAATGTACAGAAATCAGTGGCTTTCTTATACACT